TCTTGTTGGTCATCCAGTATAGGCTGAGGGTAAGCTCATGTCTCTCTGGAGAGGTTTTGTGTATGCTTTTGTCAGGGTACCAGAGTTATCACTGGCCATGGCCACCCGGTAATGGTTTATTCTGGGCTTCAAACCTACATGAGGTGGACCTGTGGTTATCTATTCTCGGCAGGGGGTAGTTCACCCCCACTGAGATCCAGGCCAAGATAGTCAACTTTCTTAACCACCTCCTTGTGCAGGCTGGAGAATTTCTTTTCCTAATCCTCTCTCTAGGGCAGAGGGGGTGGTCTGATGAGAATTCCAGCTTTATGTGGGAGTCTCAGTTCTAGTTCTGTCACCCACACTTCCTGAAGGCCCTGGGACTTCTTCTCTTGAGTCACATGGATTTATAATCCACATCTCCTGTTACCAAGGCTTGTAACCTACTCTCTTCTCAAAGCAGTAGTTCAGAGATTTAGTTCTTATTTTCAAGTCTCTCTGTGTTTGACTCTGGAAAATTTCTTATCTTCTTGAGAACTCAGCTATGCATTTAAAAAGATATTATATTTTCCCCAGAATTTCTAAGATTTTAATAGCAAAAAGTTAAAAAAAAAAATCTCTTTTGCCAAGGGCACATCACCATCCTCTGACAGTGTCTTCTAGTGGATGGAAGATGCCCGTCCACATTCAAAGAGGCATATGGAGAAGGGACCTGTGCCTTTTAGAAGTGCATGTGCTTTTTGGTCTAACTCATCTGTAGGCTTGAGAACTGTTCATTCAGTCTTTCTTTCATCACCCTTACCTTTATAGCACATTCAATAAATACTGAGTTCCTACTGTACAAGCTTGCATTAATTTATTCAGCAAGCATATATTGTGTCTAGCATCTGCTACATGCCAGTTATGTACTCATGCTCAGCAAAAACATACCTGATTGCCGTCTTCATGGAGAGCTCAAATACTGAGCAGATAATCACATGGATAAAATGTGTAAAATTGCAAATGCAGCCAGTGTCAGGAAATAAAGGTACATGTTGCTGTGAGATGTGCAATGAGGGATTTACTGAGCTCAGGCCAGGAAGGGCTTATTTGGGGATGTGAGGGCAAGAATACACAGAAGAACTGTACAAAAAAGATCTTCACGACTCAGATAATCGTGATGATGTGATCACTCACCTAGAGCCAGACATCCTGCAGTGTGAAGTCAAGTGGGCCTTAGGAAGCATCACTACAAACAAACCTAGTGGAGGTAATGGAATTCCAGTTGAGCTATTTCAAATCCTAAAAGATGATGCTGTGAAAGTGCTGCACTCAATATGCCAGCAAATTGGGAAACTCAGCAGTGGCCACAGGAATGGAAAAGGTCAGTTTTCATTCCAATTCCTAAGAAAGGCAATGCCAAAGAATGCTCAAACTACCACACAATTGCACTCATCTCACACGCTAGTAAAGTAATGCTCAGAATTCTCCAAGCCAGGATTCAACAATACATGAACCGAGAACTTCCAGATGTTCAAGCTGGTTTTAGAAAAGGCAGAGGAACCAGAGATGAAATTGCTAACATCTGCTGGATCATCAAAAAAGCAAGAGAGTTCCAAAAAAATATCTATTTCTGCTTTATTGACTATGCCAAAGCCTTTGACTATGTGGTTCACAATAAACTGTGGAAAATTCTTAAAGAGATAGGAATACCAGACAACCTGACCTGCCTCTTGAGAAATCTGTATGCAGGTCAGGAAGCAACAGTTAGAACTGGACATGGAACAACAGACTGGTTTCAAATAGGAAAAGGAGTACGTCAAGGCTGTATATTGTCACTGTGCTTATTTAACTTATATGCAGAGTACATCATGAGAAAAGCTGGGCTGGAAGAAGCACAAGCTGGAATCAAGATTGCCCAGCAAAATATCAATAACCTCAGATATGCAGACAACACCACCCTTATGGCAGAAAGTGAAGAGAAACTAAAAAGCCTCTTGATGAAAGTGAAGGAGGAGAGCGAAAAAGTTGGCTTAAAGCTCAGCATTCAGAAAACTAAGATCATGGCACCTGGTCCCATCACTTCACGGGAAATAGATGGGGAAACAGTGGAAACAGTGTCAGAATTTATTTTGGGGGGCTCCAAAATCACTGCAGATTGTGATTGCAGCCATGAAATTAAAAGACGCTTACTCCTTGGAAGGAAAGTTATGACCAACCTAGATAGCATATTTAAAAGCAGAGACATTACTTTGCCAACTAAGGTCCATCTAGTCAAGGCTATGGTTTTTCCAGTGGTCATGTATGGATATGAGAGTTGGACTGTGAAGAAAGCTGAGCACCAAAGAATTGATGCTTTTGAACTGTGGTGTTGGAGAAGACTCTTGAGAGTCCCTTGGACTGCAAGGAGATCCAACCAGTCCATCCTAAAGGAGATCAGTCCTGGGTGTTCATTGGAAGGACTGATGCTGAAGCTGAAATGCCAATACTTTGGCTACCTCATGCAAAGAGTTGACTCATTAGAAAAGACCCTAATGCTGGGAGGGATTGGGGGCAGGAGGAGAAGGGGACAACAGAGGATGAGATGGCTGGATGGCATCGCCAATTCGATGGGCATGGGTTTGGGTAGACTCTGGGAGTTGGTGATGGAGAGGGAGGCCTGGCATGCTGCAGTCCTTGGGGTCACAAAGAGTCCGATACGACTGAGTGACTGATCTGAGCTGAAATGAAGTGAGAAAGAGTGGCTTTCACTGAGTGAAAAGCGGAGTGATAATTGTGCCAGATATGGAGCAGTGTGTATAGTGACTCTGGGGTGAGGATGAAGGACTGAAAGACGGGTGGTTAATTGGAAGAGGAAATCATGAAAAGTATACAGTCTCAGAAAAGGCTAAAAGGGAGCTAAGAGCCTAACCATGGAAGATGTTGAAGCCTGTGTTAAGGAGTTTTGTGTTTATCCCACGAGTCATTAAGGGCTTTAAATAGGCGAATGGCACATCTAATTTGCCCTTTGGAAGATCTTTCTGACTTCAGAAAAGAGAACAAATTTGAGGAGGCAGAAGTGACAATGAAGCTAGTTAGGAGGCTATTGTCAGTAGACTAAATAAGAATTGCCAGAGCTCAATGCCAGTTTTGGCTTTGTAAATACAAAGAAATGGACAGATTTGAGATTTATTTAGCAGGTAAAATTATCAAGGAGAAGCAGAGAGATTTGCCAAGAACTATTCCAAAGTTCCAGGCTTACATAACTGGATGACTGGTGGTGGTCCTTTCCTGAGATGGGGAACACCCAAAGAGAATAAGGTTTGATGGAAAGGCCAGGGGGTTTCCTTTTGCATGTATTGAGTTTGAGATTTTTGAAACATCTAAGAGGAAAATATCAAGAGGCAGTTGGATACGTGGGTCCAGAGACCAGGGAAGAAAACTGGGGATGTAATTATGTGAATAATTTTTTATAGGTGATTACTAGATGATATTCCCCATGAAGAGATGACAGGGTGTTGTTCAGTTGCCAAGCTGTGTCTGACTCTTTTTGACTCCATGGACTGCAGCATGCCAGGCCTCCCTGTCTCTCACCATCTCCTGGAGCTTTCCCAATTTCATGTCCATTGAATCGGTTATAAAAATGTGGAGGTTATTGGTGAGTTTAGTGGGGGCTGTTTTGGTGGTAAGATGGGGTAAGAAGCTAGGAGTAGGATATAGAGCAAGTAGGAGATGAAATGAAATCAGTGAATGTAGACAACTTTTAAGTTTCCCAGGGAAGTTATGTGAGATTTGAATTCTTTCTTTTTTTTAAATAATGGAAGTTATTTATTTATTTTTATATTTTTGGCCATACCACATGGCATGTTGGATCCCGGTTCCCTGACCAGGAATCAAACTCATGCCCACTGCAGTGGAAACGCAGATTCTTAATCACTGGACCACCAGGGAAGTCCCCTTGAATTCATTTTTAAAGGAAACAAATCACTTAGTTATGATGGGAAAGCAAAATCTTTTAAAATAGAGAATCAGTAGAAATACTAGTTTTTTGATAGTGAAGAGGTGGCCAAGATAGAAACATAGGCTGGCACAGAGATGAAGACTCTGCCCCAAGACAGAGTTGTAATACTAGCTAACATTTATTGCACTCTCACTATTTTCCCAAGTGCCACTCTAAATGCTTAACTGACTTAATCTCCAAAAAGTCTGTGCGGTTGATACACTTACTCCATTCAGGACATGAGGAAGCTAATCAGCAGAGAGGAGCTGTAACTTATATCGTAGGAGGACAGGGATTTGAACCCAGAGAGTCTGGCCGTGGAGTTCATGTTCTTACGTGCTTGCGTGCTAAGTCGCTTCAGTCGTGTTCAGCTCTGTGCAACCCTATAGACTGTAGCCCGCCAGGCTCCTCTGTCCATGGGATTCTCCAGGCAAGAATACTGGAGTGGGTTGCTGTGCCCTCCTCTGAGGGATTTTCCTGACTCGGGATCAAACCCAAGTCTCCTACGTCTCATGAGTTGGCAGGTGGATTCTTTACCCCTAGCGCCACCTGGGAAGCTCCCTCATGTTCTTAACCACTGTGCTATACTGCTTCTCAATATGTGAGTGCACGTATTTATATGAGTGAGTATTTATATCATCTGTGAGCCAAGGTATGAGCTTATCCACCTGCAAATATTGAAAACATCTGTGGTTATATGACTCTGGAGCAAAAGTATAAACTAATGTTGGCTCAGATACTTTGTTAAAACTCCTTCTTGGCTTTTTGTTACACAACAGGATGGGTATAAGTGGAAATTTCACTAGACCATTTGTAGCTTTAATCAGTGGCCATTAATAAATATGTGCACATTATTCATTTAATTGTACCTGTAACTATGTTGTGGCCTCTGAGGGCATCATAGGTAAGTAAGCAGAATCTACAACGAGCTGAAGCCACTTACGCCTCTGCCAAGATGTGTCATTTGTGAGTGTCATTAACCAGTATCCTAAAATAAGTGACCTTTTCCAGGTCCCTGGGGATTGGCTTTAACTAAAACATGTGTGTTTCTTTTCCTCCCAAGGGTTGAACAACTCCGAGAGAACATGCGACAAAGAGTTTATTATACGCAGAACAGCCACGAATCGAGTACTGAACGTTCTCCGTCACTGGGTCTCAAAGCACGCACAGGTAATGCAGCAGCCTCGATAATTACTTTCAAGGACTTTTTAAAGCACCAGCTTTAAAAGTTACTAACAATGCCTCCTGATGCTTTCAAGTTAGAGTTTGAAACCTTGGAAATAGAGCATATTGAAGGGAAGAAACTCGAAGGTGGGCCTGCAGGTCAAAGCAAGCAAATGTGTACTGCCACCGTCCAGTGGTCGCGTTCTTCCAAGGGCAGGACATAGCAAGTGCGCAGGACTCCCCGTCCGCTCGTCTCTGAGGGGCAGCGCCCACTGTGGGCGCCAGGGCTGTGGCGGGACCGCTGTCCTCTGCCGCCTGGGGGCGCTGTTCACAGGCCCTCTCTGTAAATGCAGCTGAGTCAGCTGGGGTGGCACCTCATGGGGGTAAATAGCAGGTGCCCCTGGAAGCAAGCAGCCTTCTGATACCAGACACGGGGATGTTTCCTTGGCCTGATTCAGAAGACACTTTTGCCTTCACACCCTTTGATGTTTTGTTTCTAGTACAGTTGACTCTCAGTTGAGGCATGTGGGATCTAGTTCCCGGACCAGGGATTGAACCCGGGCCCCCTACATTTTGGCACTGGACCTCCAGGGAAGTCCCAACTCTTGAACAATGTGGTGGTTAGGAGCACCAGTCCTCTATGCAGTGGAAAACTTGTGTATAGCTTACATCTGGCCCTCCGTACCCGTGGTCCTGTGATGTATGTCGTTCCTCCATATCCAATGATTCAACCAACCTCAGACTCAGCACACTCAGCAGTGTGGTAGTGCTTACTATTGAAAACAGCCCGCATACAAGTGGACCGACACAGTTCGAATCTGTGTTTCTCAAGAGTCTACTGTATTCTGTTTTTAAATTGCATCATGCAGACAGGACACCTGCTTGGTTTCTATTTGTGTGTATTCAGTGCAAGTTTATAGACTTTGTATCCATTTCACCATTTCACAAAATAAAGCCAGGGCCCCCTTTGCCTCATTGATTCAGGGCATGAATTGTGCCAAACAGTGTCCCCACTGCCAAATAAGTGGTGGGCCTTCCTGACACAGGCTGGCTAGCACCCTGCAAGGGGAGTTGTAGAGAGAGAAGGGGGCCCTTCATGGCTCAGATCAGAACGTGGGAAACATAAAGTGTGGGTTAGCTAATGAGTAGAGGAAAAGAAAAATGCAAGGAGTTCCCATGTCTCACTTCGTTGTATTCTCAGAGGCCGTCACAGGTCTACTGCCTGGTCCTTGGTAATGACCGTTCATCAGAGAGAGTCTCGCGAGGGCCGGGCTCCTGAAACCCCTGAGACAGGACAGTTCACTAATTGGAACAAGTGGGATTTGGACCTCACCACTAGCTGGCCCATGACAACTCCTAAATATTAATTAGAATAAAAACAAGTACAGCACATTAATAAAGGCTGTAATCACTTCATCTTGTACATCTTAGATAAATACAATGGATCCTATATGACTCAAATTCAGACAACCATCCTTAGCTCGTTGGAAATGTCTAGTCTCTCTTTTCCACAATCTCAGTGGGCTGCTTTGAATCCCTTTTGCTTCACTGCAGATAAAACATGATAATGGTGTTTCTCTGCCACCTGACTGTCCATCCTGTCATCTTTGATTTTTGACTCAGAGTTTTGGCTTCTGATTCCTGGGTCTGACAGTAGCTTGGAGATGCAGAGTAGTTTTGATAGACAAAGTTGAGCAGATGCTCTGTGGTTCTCTTCCGCAGTCAGAGCTTGGGCCCTGCAAGTACATGCCAAGACCTGCAGTCACAGCACCAGTCACAGCCCAGGTTTCCCTGGTCCCAGCTCCTTCCTCTCCTCCACATCTTCCCTCAAATCTCTAACCTCACTTCCCTGTTAGCCTCACTTTCCTTTTATCCCTTTTATCAATCCCCAGCGCCCTCTTCCTCTAATGATCTCAAACAGGGGTCCCTCACAATTCACATATAACACAGTAGCTAGAAAAGTACCTCAATTCAAATTAGAGTAAGCTGGGGTTATTTTACTTTTGGTAAAAATAGCTCATAGATAGGAAGAGATTGGTGTACTGAATCCATCACTTATAATTAAGAGATTTATAGTAAAGTGTTATCATCTGATTTAACAGCTACATTGTACATGCAGGTATACATGTGTGCATACAGCAATATCAGGCTGAAAAGCACCAAGCCATTAGCTACTGGAATAGAAAATGGATTGATGTGAAAGCAAGAGTCTCTTAATTCAGATTGTGTCCAAGTGGCTTTTAGTTCTAATCCAGAAGCACCCTAGATAGGTAGAAGGAGATGATTGATAAATAGATGTTGTTGTTTAGTCACTAAGTCTTGCCTGAGTCCTGTGACCCCATGGACTGTAGCCCACCAGGCTCCTCTGTCCATGAGATTCTCCAGGCAAGAATACTGGAGTGAGTTGCCATTGTCTTTCCCCAGGGGATCTTCCTGACTCAAGGATTGAAGCCACGTCTCCTGCATTGGGAGGCAGATTCTTTACCACTGAGCCAGCAGGGAAGCCTAGATAGATAGTCAAACAGATGACTAAATGCAGCAGATGCAAAGTTTCATCTGGTGCAGCAGAATCCTGGGAGGAAGATTTTGTAAATGGAAAGGAGAGGGTACTAAAATTTACTGGACACCTACTCCACAGGTCAACTTGAACTTACTGTTTTATTTTATTATCTACATCTTACAGTTAAATCCCAGACATGAAGTACCGAAAGTCACAGCACTTATAAGTGGTAGAACCTGGACTTGAACCAAGGAGTGTTGAACTCCAGAGCTCATGTCCTAGTCCCAGAGAGTGGAGTCTGCCAGTTTGACGTGAACTTGGCTGGAAAGGCAGCCACAAACCTGAATCCTTAATTAGAAAAGCAAAGGCAGGATAAGAAATGGTGCATGGTTAATTTCCTAGGAAACCCTTTTCCCCTTCCAAGTGTGGGGGAAATGGACTAAAATGAAGCTGTCATCTTGGAAATAAAATCTACGTGCAACAAAAAGCACCCTAGGTTTTAGCTTTTGTTTGTACAGTTTAGATACTTTGCAGCCTGTAACTTCAGATGTGCTTATACATGGGAAAGCACTTTGCAATCAGTTTTAACATCCCAGACTCTCTCTGCATCAAAGTGGTACATCTCTACATGTGTGGACAATAAAGCTGCTCAGGTATCCAGTCTTTTCTCCTGTCACGATTACTGTATAAAATTTAGACCCTGATGTGCCAAAGGCAGTTCTTACCACTCCCTCACTTGTCTTTTCTTACCTTTCCTGCTTGTGTGACTGGATTGTTGTGATGTGTGGTTGGTGTCGGATTGTCCTGGTATGACTTCTTCATGTGCACAGCCTGTCACCTTCCTCATTCAAGTGAGTTCTCCATCACCGTCTCTCAGTAAGTGCGTGAAGTGCAGGTGTTTTCATAACGTTTCTGCTTATTGGAAAAGAGCTTTAGGACATTTTTTGCTGGCTTCAGTGTCCAGGTTTCCCTTCCTCGCTTTACTGACTTGGTTTTGGTGGGACTTGAGCCCAGGCCTGTCCATTTCTTCTTTTTTTTTTTTTTTTAAAGAGCTTTATTGTACCTTTATTCTGCTTTGTAATATGCTACTTTACGTATGTGAGAATAAGTAACATATATGTAGTTACAAAACATAGTAATAAGAGAACAGTCATGCATCTGTCATGGAAGGTATTACACTTAACATCCACCTATCTGATTTCCCTGTCTGATTCTTCTGCCTCTCATGTTGTTTGTTTGTTTGTTTTTTTTTTAATTTATTTTTATTAGTTGGAGGCTAATTACTTTACATCATTGTAGTGGTTTTTGTCATACATTGAAATGAATTAGCCATGGATTTACATGTATTCCCCATCCCCGTCCCCCCTCCCACCTCCCTCTCCACCCGATCCCTCTGGGTCTTCCCAGTGCACCAGGCCCGAGCACTTGTCTCATGCACCCAACCTGGGCTGGTGATGTGTTTCACCCTAGATAATATACGTGTTTCGATGCTGTTCTCTTGAAACATCCCACCCTCGCCTTCTTCCAGAGTCCACAAGTCTGTTCTATACATAGGAGTCTCTTTTTCTGTTTTGCACATAGGGTTATCATTACCATCTTTCTAAATTCCATATATATGTGTTAGTATACTGTAATGGTCTTTATCTTTCTGGCTTACTTCGCTCTGTATAATGGGCTCCAGTTTCATCCATCTCATTAGAACTGATTCAAATGAATTCTTTTTAATGGCTGAGTAATATTCCATGGTGTATATAGGCCTGTCCATTTCTAAAGCCAGAGTGCTTTTAATTACACCTCATGGCCTGGATCCAAAGCTTAGACTTTAAGTTTTAATTACAAGTTGGTAACAACACTACAAGCTACAAGAGAAGTTGTTATTTGAATATTTTGAGAAAGTAAGTACTTTCATTTTAATTCTCTTTTCTGAATTTTGAAGCACATGATAAGAACTTAGCACTGTTTTAGAATTTCATATGGCAATGGATTTTAGACAAAACTCTCTATATCCAACTGGAATTACAATTAAAATGTCATTAGATTCAATTTTAATGACATTTTAATTAAAATGTCATTAAAATTAAAGTATATTCTTTCCCCAAATTCATTCTATTTCCTATGTGATCACTGCACAGACCAGAGCTTTTAAAGCATTCAGTCATGACCACTTAATGGAGAGTGGAATCAATTAATGGGTTGTTATCAAGAGCAGGTCAAGGCATGCTCTTGGTAATGGGTTGGTAAACAGTTCCAATAGACAGACCTGGTTTCAGCTCACAGTCCTGGAGGCGATATTGTGTGCCCACCACCTCCTGTCACCACTGCAGGACCACCTGAGCCAGCTGAGTTAGCGGAGGTGGGAGCATGGCCCCCAACTTGTAGGCCCCAGGCAAGGTGACCACCATGGTGCTTGAAGAAGGATTAATAGCCCAGCTCCAAGCCTTTATCCAGGTTTATTTAAAGGTATTTACTCTCACAGCGGTAATGGGGCTTGAGACTGCCGGTCAGA